TGTAAGTATTGAATAATCTATGCAAGCCACGAAACTCTATAAGCCAACTAAACCGATCAAGCTAACTTCCTTAACTAACAGAGATTTAAACATTATGTTATCCTGACATTAATAATATCCTCCGCCTTGGTATTCTATGCAGTTCCTAACAAATTCCACTTACTAGTTATATGAAATACTAAAAAATTCTTGTAAATTTCATATATCAAATTTATCAAACTTCAATTATTTAAATAAATATTCTTTTGATTTTACTCCTGATTTGCTCTTCACGATAAACAATTGCCCTTCTAGTCGGAAACAGTTCAGGAAAAATATCAGGTACTCGGCTTGCTTAGGTTACTCATCCAGATATGCTTTTAACCTAAACGAAATATTCCGAACCGAAATTAGGAATATTTAACAGTAATACTGTTAAGCAACAGTGGCAGCTGTTAAGGAACAGGTGCTCTTACAGACTCTGTTACACAACACTTACGCTTAACAGCTGTAAAGCTTGCTAAAGAGAATAGATAAATGTTCGTTATGTTTCGAGGACATTTCGTTTGAGTTGAAAAGATGATTTTATAATAAAATGCAAATTTTCTTAAATAAAATACAAAAAACTAACCTGTAAATAATTTTGAACAGTATAAGACCAACACGCGTCCCGGATTATTAAGCGTAGAGACGATACATGAGGCCATTTTTACACCGGATAAGCCTGGAATTATTTTTTGTGCGGCGCAAAATCAAATCAACAATGAACTGCTTACATCAACGACCAAGGCACACGTCCTTTTGGGCACAATTGCAGAGAACATTAGCATATCCGGCCTGGATCCAAATCGTAAGATAGCCAAAGGTGATAAAGAGAGTTTCACCTGCGCCGCCTTGGCCTATCATTTCGATGGGAATCTGGAATGGTATCTCGACGGCGAGCTGATCAGCGAGAGTCCAGGTAGGTGCATGGACTGATTGATTGATTGATTGGTCTTGATTAATCGTTCTTGCCTCTAGATGTTGAGCTAGAGACGAGCAGCACGGAATATTCCTATACGAAGACCCTCAAGTTCCATGCCATTGCTGACAAGGATCGCGGCACCTACGAGTGCCGTGCACGGTACATCAATGACCCGGACAAGTACGATAGTCGCGAGATAACAGTCTATGTGCACGATCCAAAGGCACCCCAATGGGCCTACACAAATCTCAATGCCAAATCAAAGATCGAACGCAACTTGGGTGACTCACTGATACTCGAGTGCAAATCGAAGGCCGTCCCGCAGGCGAAAGTGAGCTGGTACAAGGACGATGTGGAGCTGTTCGAGACGAATCGCACACACATTGTGGAGGACGGCACCAAGCTGCTGATACCCCATCTCTATCCCAAACACGATGGCATCTATCGCTGCGTGGTCGCCAATCGCCTGGGCAGCATTGAGAACTCCGTGACCGTGGTGATTGCCAGTAAGTTTGAACCTTCGTAAAGATAGAACTTCGGATAATTTTCAACTGCCTGCCGCCTTTTATAGATATTCCGGGAGTGAGCAAGTTATGGATTTGGGTGGGCGCCATCTTTTTCGGCGTACTGATTGCACTCTGCGCTTTCCTGGCCGTACGCTATCGGGAGGAGCGCAAAAATCATTTGGCATTGAAGGCCGCGGGACTGGCCAACTTTGTGGAGGGCGATGTCGACCAAATCAATCCGGCGCTGTCATTGGACGAGCAAGCGGAACTGCTGCCCTACAATCGTGAATTCGAGTTTCCACGCGACAAACTAAAGCTGGGCAAGCAGCTGGGCGCCGGCGCCTTCGGTGTGGTCCTCAAGGGCGAGGCCGAGGGCATACGCAGCGATGAGCCCGTCAGCACCGTGGCCGTTAAAATGGTTAAACGCACCGCCGATGCGGAAGTGGTGCGCGCTCTGGTCTCCGAGCTAAAGATCATGGTGCATCTGGGACAGCATCTGAATGTTGTGAATCTATTGGGCGCAGTTACCAAGAATATTGCAAAGCGTAAGTTAAAATAACTACAGTGAAAGTTTGACTAACTCCCCCTCCCTTGCTGTCCCATTTCACTATAGTCTATATTATTATTATACTCTGTTAACTCTATTAACCTTGTCTTTAAACTTTACCAGGCGAACTAATGGTAATTGTGGAATATTGTCGCTTTGGCAATATACAAAACTTTTTGTTGCGCAATCGCAAGTGTTTTATCAATCAGATTAATCCCATCAATGATCGCATTGATCCCAGCATAATGACGCAACGCATTTCGGACAACTTTGATTTGCATCGGTAAGTTCATGGCAATCACATGGTAACACTAACAGTAGGTTTACAGCTAATGTTAACTAACATTGTTCTTGTTTTTTTCTGCTACAACTAATACGAATTGTGCTAACAAACGCTCTAACAAAAATATGCCCAATCATTAACTAATAACAACAACAAAAAACTTTCCCCAAAATACACACACACACACACAAAAACACACACAACCTAACTGTGCTTGTGGTTATGGTTGTGGTTATGTTTATGGTCTACTCCTCCTCTATGCACTGCTCTGAACCTGCTAAATGTGTCTGTGTTGTGCCCAATATATATTAACTGTGTGCATCCAGTGATGTTGGTGGTGGCTTGAAATATGTTAACGTCGGTTTCCCGAACCATCCATATATCAATCACGTAAACAACAACTATACGCACACTCATCGCAGAAACTCCGACAATGATCCACGGTCGGGCACACGTGCCGGCCGTACCGTAACCGGCGGCAGCACCTACGATCGCCAACTGGACACCTGCGCCACAGAGGCAACTGTGATGACCACAGTGCCAGAGGGTAAGTGTTCAGCTACCTATATTCCGTTCGGTTCTCTGACGAGCACCCCTCTCCGTGCAGATGACCATGTCATGTCCAACAACTCGATACAACCCGCCTGGCGCTCCAACTACAAGACAGACTCCACCGAGGCGATGACCGTCACCACCACCGATTTGGCCAGCTGGGCCTTTCAAGTGGCACGCGGCATGGATTACCTATCCTCGAAGAAGGTTCTGCACGGCGATCTCGCGGCCCGGAACATACTGCTCTGTGAGGACAATGTTGTAAAGATCTGTGACTTTGGTCTGGCACGCTCCATGTACCGTGGCGATAACTACAAGAAGTCCGGTAAGTGAATTTATATCTTGGCTTATATAAAATCAATAAGAAATCTTTTGTTTTGCTTACAGAAAGCGGTAAGCTGCCCATCAAATGGCTGGCGCTGGAATCGCTTAGCGATCATGTGTTCAGCACCTACAGCGATGTCTGGTCCTTTGGCATTGTGCTGTGGGAGTTATTCTCGCTGTCCAAGGTGCCCTATCCGGGCATTGATCCCAATCAGGAGCTGTTCAACAAACTGAACGATGGCTATCGCATGGAGAAGCCGCCATATGCCAATCAGGAACTCTATGAGATAATGCTGGAGTGCTGGAGGAAGAGGTAAATAATATTGAATTATCTTTCGAAGCATGGTATTAAATATTACCTTTTTCTCATGATTAGTCCCGAGAGCAGACCTTTGTTCAATGTGCTGGAGCGACGCTTTGCCAACATGTTGGGCGAGGATGTGGCCAATGTAAGTTGATCTCTACATACCAAAGCTGCAAACTGAACAGGCTCGAAACTGTGGAACTATATCCCAATCCAAGTTGACAAAATAACAGCCCAGCCAATACCCAAACCGGGTATTTATCAGTTTCATGAACCATACTCAAAGCCAGGAAGCTGGTTTCAATTGTGAACTGAACCACGGCCAATTTTTATTCGGGTTTGCAGCCCAGCTAAACACCCTTTTACACTTTACTAACACACACATATTCGTTTTTGGTTACCGCAGCACTATCTGGATTTGAACGATCCGTACATGCGCTCGAACACGGAGTACATGAAGAATCGACCCACGGACTATTTATCTCTAATGGGCTCGCCGGATGAATTTGCACCAGCGGCGCCGCGCTATGTCAATGGGCACATAGTGCCCGATATACGTAAGTACATGTTGAATGCTTGCTTGGATGTGGTAACTAACTGCCTGCACACACACCCACACACACATCCTTCACACTAACCCGTTCACAGGAATCGAAGCATCACCTGATGATTACCTACAAATGAATGCCGAGAACAGCACCGCCATATTTTCACCCACGCGTCCCAAAGGCGACGCGAATCAAAGCACAGAATTTGCCGATTTGCCAGCCATAGAAACAAACGAAACCTCTTTCACGTTCCCAGATACGCGCACCGTCGTGGGCCAGCATTCGCCAACGCTGGCCAACAATATGGACAGCAGTGCACACAAGCCGTTGCGGCGAAAGAACGGCATGCCCACCGTGGATGCAGCGGATCAGGCGCCCGAGGAGATACCCATGCTGCATCGCACCTCCACATCGGATGGCGAACGCAGTCCTGAGCAGGCACGCCGATTCCCTCAGGCGCTGAAGCAACAATATGTTACGCCCACGCCCTCGCCACGTCATCACATCGAGACGACGCTCAATGGGAGCGGTGACAACTATGTGAACGTGAAGCCACCGCGCAAAAATCTTGTCAACAAATCTGCAGCAGGTGGCAGCAGCAGCAGCAGCACAGATGCCTTCTCCAATCCCAGCTACCAGCCGCTGGCAGTTGTTAACGAGAAGCAGGAGCGTAGATATTAAATCTATATTACTTAAGAATACCCCTAGGCGACATTACTTAATTAGTTGGGCATTTAGAGCCTCACTAACAAGGCATTTAGAGCCTAACTAATTAGGCAACGTCACCTAGTGGTATTACAGAGATATTTAATATGCATAGTTCATAAGATACACTCATCGCGTTAAATTGATTAGTGAGAGCATTTCGCATAAACCATTAAGTTATAATTCTACTTAACTATCTACCTTAGCGCTTAGTTAATTGTAAGTGAATATGTATGTAAATATGTTTTACTCATTTTGAATGAGTATAATAATAAAAACGAAATCCAATTAATTTACAATATGATCCTATTGCTTTTATAGGTATGAACAATCGTTACTAGAACGCAACTTTTATAATATAATTATGGAATGTACTCTTTTCCATTCTTTATCTCATTTAGGAACTTAGGTTTTCTGATTTAATAAACGCTTGCGGTTCATCAATGTGCATTCGCTTCATTTCCAGCTGTAGCATTATTAACTCCTTTTTTAATTTTAACGATATTAGCTTCATATTGTGCCTCTGGGCAGCTCGTAAATGTTCATTTTGGTAGAACTTTTGCTGTAGCTGAAGCAAAAGCATTTTCTCCTTCAGCAAAGTGCGCTTGGTTATAATTTTCTGCTGGTTTTCCTTCAGATGTTCGGAGACAATAGATTCAGTAGATTTCGTATTGGGACTTTCGTTAGAATTTTTTACACATTGCTAAAACAAGACTTAAGATATTAATTTATTTAACTAAGAATTGGAATATGAAACCCACCTCTTCAAATTCAAGTACTTCGAATACTTCAGCTTTTATTGACGTCATCTCGGCATTTTTTACTAGATATATAAAAAATATTAGCTATTGTTGAGCTAGGTTTAAGGAGATGCCTCATTCCTAAGTATAAGGTTTGAGCCTAATATATTAACTATCGAAATCAAAACTGGCTTTCGGTATTTACCTTCACTTAAAAATAATTTCTGTTGCTCAGGTTCCGCGGTTACCAAACTTTGACGATTACTAATCTTTAATTTGGAGCTCATGCTTTTGTACTTGTCCCTTAGCGCTGTCCACCTGCGCTGTACTCCAGTTTGCTTGGAAAATTGTTGGGCCACATCCTCCCAGGATTTCCTCTTGTCCGTTATAGTTGTGGAATTGTTGATGCTATGATTTTTCGCCTTCATTAGCTGCAGGAGTTGGAGTTCCTCCCATTTTGTGAAATTCTTGCCACGTTGTCTCTTGTACTTATACATTGAGTTTATTTTTAAGGAATTTCAGTTAACTAATAAACATTATATAGTTTATTTGCGGTAAATTAATTTGCGAGCAATTGTTTACATATTGCTTTGCAGGGCTGCATCGACTATTAGGGATGATACACAGTTCAGACACTCACGGCATATGAAAGGATTAGTACGCTGGTCAAAAACCAATACAGCACGATTTTCCAAACCGATAACTTAGTTTTTTTAAGTTTTAAGTATCACATCAGAATACTCACTGTTTTATATTTATTATATGTTTTAACAAAAATACTTTGTGCAATATATGCCAATAATTTGAATGAAGGCAAAATATTTGCACATTACTGCTTACTGTAATTGACATATTTGAGCAGGTTAGCAGCTCTGCCGCCATTCACACTGAGTACTGAGCACCACTTATCATGAAACGGTCACACTGCATAAAAGAATATAAAACGCAAGCACGGCGTTTCTATTCACCTTTGGTAATTTTGTTCTTCAATTGTTTAAAACAAAGTGATAATTAAAAATGACTTGAATAACATTGAGACTACATATCCATCTTTTTTTTTTGTTTTTTTTTTTGTATTTTTTTTGGCACGTGAAAAGTATTTCTAAGTATTTAGCCGCTAAGTGAAACAGTGCAACAACAACAACAACAACAACTGCTAGAGGAACGCCAGGCAATATTCGATGCTGACCGGTGGAAAAAGTACAGCAAAAATCTTAAATAATATGTGTTAAACAATTGCTGGGCAATTTCGGCAAGGCAGGCGGCAGCGCAGCGGTTTCGCCAGCGGAGTTGCTGAGAACGGAAACTGTAAACAAACGCGATCGCTCGGTGGCTTTTCCACATTGTACAGTCTCACACTCACACACACACACACAGATACGCCCATACGATGGAGGCGCAAAAACTTTATATAAAAGTTACGCGACTCTCACTGAAATCCGCCTCGAATTTGTCTAAGCGCCGCATCCAAGAGCTAAACTCCGGCATTGGTGAACTGCGCCAGCTGCTGTCGTGTGCCGTCTGCTGCCAGCTGCTGAACGATCCCTACAAGCCGAAGGACAAACGCTGCGGCCATCATGTGTGCCGGCTGTGCCTGCGCGGCCGCAAGCGTCTGGTGCCTAGTTGCGCGCAGTGCAACGATTGCTGCGACTTTAAGACCTACGAGGAGAACAAATCGATGGCCATGACACTGTTGTGCTATAAGACGCTATGTGTTCATCTGCTGCAGTCGTCGCTATACGCGCAGCTCTACCAGCTGCAGCCGGACAACGAGAGGAGCTACTACATCGAGCGGCGGCCACGCATTAGGCTGCCGGACAGACCAACACAATGGTTCATACAGGAGGGTGCCAATTATGAGGACATGTGTGATACATTTTTATCACAGCCCGAGTTGCCGTTCCTGGGGCACATGCCCCCATCGCTGCCAGCCGAGACGCCGCCAACGACGGCGGCCACAACGCCGGAGCTGCCGTACGAACAGCATATGCCCGATCAGCTGTCCCTCACAGATATTGAGCTGGAAGCAGCGGTAACCGGCGAGCAGGCACAGTACGCCCATCCTTTGCCGATGATGACACCGGGTGCGCGCATTTTAACCCACAGTCACATTGCACCACAGCCACAAATGCTGATACCAGCCGAACAGACATTGCTGCCAGCTGGTTACATTGAGTCCCGCTGGTCTGATCAAGTGGATCTATCGGGTGCCCTCTCGCTGCCCACATACGCCAACAGTCCGACCTACACAACATACGTAATGCCCAGCAACGAGCTGCATATGCCCTCCATTGGTCAGGTGGTGCAACTGCCACAGCAGATGGCAACAACGACGACCACGGCGTTTGAACCAGTTGCCGTCAGTGGTGTCAGCAGTAAACGTCGGCATGCCCAGCTGCTGCTTGAAGATGTGCCGGAGGAACAGTTGCAGCAGCAGATGGACAGCAACGAGCCCGTTGTCACAAGCCAGGCGGGCACACGCATGAATTTGCGCAATCATAAGGCCACCATAATCTCATCGGTTCAGGTCAAGCCACCTACTGCGACCTCATCTCCAATAATTACAGCAGCTCCCGTGGCTACAGCGCATGTAGCAAGCCTTCCTGCAGCTGTAGTAAATGTCGCAGGTGCTCCTCCTCCTCCAGCTGTAGTCAGTGTAGAAGCCGCTCCCGTGGTTGTAGCTGCAGCCCCGGTAGCTGTTGCTCCCGTAGCCGCAGCTCCCACACCTGCCGTAGCTGTAGTTCCTGTAGCCAGAACAACTAGAGCTGCAGCTCTTGTAGCCAAGGCTACCACAGCTGCAGCTCCCGTAACCGCGCCTGTTGTAGCTGCAGCTCCGGTAGCAGCTAAAGCTACCGTTTCCACTTTTCCAGTCACATCCACACCAGTCAAGGCACGCGGCCCACCACCAGTGTCAGGCAAATTCCATAAGGCCAAGCCGAAAGATACGCGCATGTCGCACATTTGTCGCTGTGGCACCACATCGGCACCTGGCAGAGCGACCTGCCGCAACTCACGTTGCACTTGCTACGTGGCGGGCAAATCGTGTGTGGATTGCAAATGCATTGGCTGCAAAAATCCACACCAGGATGCTGCTGAAACCAGCGATGAAGAAGACTCCAATTTAGAAGCGCCCACGAAAACGGTTGCAGAGGTGCCCGCGCCGGCAGCAGCAGCTGCAGAGGAGCCCGCGCCGTCTGCACCAGAAGCAGCAGCTGGCATGCAATCTGGCTTCACTTTGGTGCCGCTGGACAATTTACAGCAGACGCAGCATCCGTTGGTTCTAATGCAAAATGAGAATGGTCAATATCAGGGTTAGTCTAGCTGCGCTTGAACTTGCTTTACTTTTTTGGCATTAATTCATTACTTTTTACGCTGCAGGCTTCAACATCTTTAACGGCACTGAACCCGTCGATCCCGCTCAGCTGGGCTTCCAGCGCGTGCCGCTGCGTAGTAATGATGGCAATACGTCCATACCTGAATTTGCGTACGTTATGCCGCCGCCAGCTGTGGCGGAACCAACGCTGGAAACACACTCGACGCCATCGCCCACAGAGCAGCGGGCAAAGAAGTTCAAGGGCGTGGAGTCCCCTGAATTAGATGCCGATTGCAGTTCGTCCATCAAGTCTGCGGCTGAGCTTGTCAGTGCCGTCAATGCTGCCGCTGGCGACAGCCTCGGCGCTGACAAGGAACACGCCATGTTTGAGTATTTCCTCAACGAAGATGACGATTTGTAAGCAATCCATGTCCAAAATCCAAAATCCATGTGACGGGGCTATTGCGTCCAATGTGTGTATATCGTTCTCGTTCCGTAGTTGCCAACTATGGTTGTTGTTGTTGTTACAATTTGTGCGTAGGTAGCAGAACTGTTTGTCATGTCCATGCCCTATGCCTGCGTTCCATATATGAATATATGATACCTACACTCAGGTACAGGGCATATGTCTAGTCGGTTGCAATCGACTTAAGCGCTCATCCTTCATCCTTTTTGTTTTTCAGCTATAATTATTGCACAACCATGTACTCATTTTATGTTTGTATTGCCCAAGAGTTTTACCCTGGTACAACCAGTCAGCCATAAAACCATAATCAACAAATCATATACATATACTCTAATCCCAATGTCTCCAGGAAAGAGCTCTCAAAACTCATATATACCCTAAGTGAGGACACTTAGGCGACTAACAGAAATTATTTATGACGCACCCCTTAGTTTCCTTTTTTATAATTTTGTGACCTCTAACTTTAAGTGATATTGTATGTTAACGTACATGAACAACTTGATAACCTTAACGCTTAAGTCAGGCGCCGCGATGCAGGATCTGCACCAACTAAATCCACTTGGGTAAACCCAAAGCAATTTGTATATTGTATTTTGTCGTACAACGAATTGTAACAAATAGGCAAAAAGTTGATAACTAGTGAATAATTGTAACTATGCTTTGTGTTAAATGCGGTCGCTGTAAACCAAAAAACAAAAACTAATTTCGTACATAGATTTTAAGGATACTTTTTTTTCATAATCATAAGCCAATTTTTTTCATATGTCTAAGCCAATTTTTTTCATATTTTTAAGTACATGTCATAATCTTAGGTCACTTTTTTTTCATATTTTTAAGCAATTTTTTTGTATAGGCTAAGAACATTTTTTTGAGCATGAAACCTTATTTTTTTGAGCATGAACCCTTTTTTTTGAGCACGTGAAAGTCAAACCTTTTTTTTTCTTAATTTAAGATTCGCCGAATACTCGGAATTATAAAAGCCAGTTGCAATAAAAAATATTTGTTTGCAAATTAAATAAAGAAATTCAAATTCAGATTGTAAATTTAAAAATATTTTAGCATTGCAAACTACATGATAAACTAACTGACAACTAATCAGGAAGCTCAAAAGCTAAATGGTATTTTAAAGGGGCATTCAGAAAGGAGCTGAAAATCAGATAATACAAAGTTTCAATTACAAGGGACTAGAAAATGTCGACTATATTTTTTATAACTAATATGATACAATTAATGTCTATACTTTTTATAAATGGGTATATTTATTGAAAAGTGTGAATGAAATTTGAGAGAACAGATCGGTTTTTCAGGACACACATCTCTCTCTATCTATTGAGCGGCTAAATGGAATTTTCTCAAAACTTTTGTAAAGTCGTGACGGCTTCCGGCGAGTTAAACTCAACGGCAGACACGCGCTCACTCAATTCAGAGTTAAATAAAAAAAAATTCAGCTCATCTCGGCTAAGCATTAGCCGTGCCCTTTGATAAGCGCTGCGACGGCTGCTGCTGCTGTGAAGTGCTCATCATTATCTCTTGATTAACTCGGGCCAGTCGTCAGTTCGAATCCGAGTCGAGTGGAGGCAGCAAACGCGCATCCGTAATCATTCTGTTGTTGTTGTTGTCGTTGTTCCTCAACTGATAAGCAGACATTTATAAGAAGATCGCACAAAGATGAAATCGCTGATAGTATTACTCGTGGCACTTCTAATCCTAGCTTGCAACGTGCCAGCGCAGGGGCAGGATGAGAATGGTGAGTAGATAAACATCTCAACTCCATGTAGTTCCAATGTATAGTTGAACCTTGTCCCACACGCAGAAGCGGAAGAGAGCGATGAGGCGCAAGAGATTGAGGCAAGCAAAAATAAACTGGCCGTACAGATCGAGGCGCTGATAGAGCACTACAAGCAAGAGGATCCAGTTGGATTGCCTGGTGCTCCCGTACCGGATCCCATAGAAGTGCCCGATATGGCCAAAAATATCGGCTTAAGCAATCTAAACATGATGAAAGTGAAGGCATACGGCCTGTCCAAATTTCGCATAGCCAGCATCAATGCAGACTTCAAGGAGATGATGGCAAGTGGATTATGGCCAAAATGGATTATGACCAAAAAATTGAAAACAATTTTTGTTGCAGATAGAGGCGGGCGTACAGCTGGACGAGATGCTGGTCAAGGGCAATTACATACTCAGCTCCTTCTTCTCCAAGACCAACGGACCGTTCACCGTGGTGCTGAAGAAGGTCTATGTCCGAGGCTCGGCCACGCTTGGCGTGGAACGTGACGGCCATCTGACCACGGAACAGATTAAGATGGACATTACCTTTGGCGAAATGGCCATGGATTTTCAGAATCTCGGCTTCTTGGGCAGCGTATTCCAGAGCGTCATCAATTCGGCGCCCAATGTTGTGTTCGATGCCATGAAGCCGTTCATGCTGCAGGAGGCGGACAAGCAATTGCGTACGGAGATCAATGCGTTCATTGAGAAGAACATGGGTGATCGCCGGATGCCCAATTCGATAACGCCGCTGGACAGCGCCATTGCCGAAGGCCGTAAGCTGGTGCGCCAAAAGGGCCTCGATCCGTATCATGTGGCCGACATGAATCGCACTATGGGCGTTTTTAGTGTACAGCTGTCCAACACCTGGATCAATGGCATCTCTAGTTTCTATCGCGTGGGCAACATCACAGCTGCCATGCAAAATAATACTGTCTCGCTGCGGCTGCAGGTGGGCACACAGCAGATCACCGGCGCCGGGCAATGGGAGCTGGGCTTTGGACTCGTGACGCGCGTCGGTCATGTACAGTTTACAGTGCAGTATATACGTGCCACCGTTGAGATTAGCCAGCCCCTGGACACACGGCAGCGACCTCAGATTAACGATTTGCAACTCGATATGGGCAACATTCAGATGCGCTGCGACGGCGCCGGCACCTTGGACTATGTCATGGAGTTTGGGGTGAATGTGTTGCCCAATCTGTTGCGCTATCAGATAATGGATGCCATCGAGAATCCCATTAAGCAGCGTATTCAGGAGAAATTCAATACCATCGATGTGGAGCAGGTCATCAAACAGCAGGTCGAGAAAAGCGAAAAGGACGGCGGCAATTTTGCCATAGATGTGAATCTATTCAAAATGTTTTAGTTATTGTTTTAAAGTTGTATAGAGTTTTACTCTCCAATGTAAGCATTACTTTTGCTAATTAAATATTTTCAATTACCATTAATTACAATTACTTTACCGAATGAAAACTACTCTCAATTACATTGTTTGACCTTTCTTTAAATTTCAACTCATTTCCACACATGAAAATGTTTAGATTATATTGATTAATATTTTACAAGCTTTTAAAAATGTATGTAGCGTGAAGATATTGTAAGCGTAAATGTTACATAGAAAGGGTCTCCACGAATTTTTCATACCCTTCAGTGGAATTTGTAATTGAAAGCGTTGAGCATTAATACAAAAGTAACTGTTGTGGTAATTGCAAATGATAAATATTTTTATATCTAGTTAGAGAGGGAATGTGCCTATGGCTCTTTGACGGCAAAGCAGAGCAACTGGAGCCGCATATTGCGCTTCACACGTTCAAGAATCTCATCCGCTTTGCGCTTCTGCTCGCTGTTGAGTGGCGGAGTAATGGCTTCCAGAGCCTCCATAAAGTAGTTTCTGCGAAGGCAAACAAAGATTTATTAATATATAAAATGAGGGAATCATTCTACAACTCACTTGGCCGTCTCGTTGGCATAGTTCTCGAGAGCATCGCGCAAAAGTCGTATGTCCACATGCGCCTGAATGGCGCCCGTGTAGCTAAATCGCTGCACACAGCTCATCAGACGCGCCAGCTCTTCGGAAATGGTCTGCACAATGGATTCCAATATGGGACGCAGCAGTGTGGGCGAAATGCTGTATATCTCGGAGTAAACACCCACCAGATTATCGCAGCACTCGTGCGCATAGGGACGCAGCTGACCCAGACCGATTTCCATCTCGTGATCCCACTGAAAGCGGCCCAGGTACATGGAGGGCTCTATGGTGCCCACCAGTGGATCACCTTTATGCTCCACATATTCCTCCAGCAGATTGGTAAACAGCTGATTGGCATTGTAGCGCGCCGTCTCAATGGCCAGCGTGGGCAACGGATAGCCATAGCGCACGAAAACTCCGCCAATGTGCGGAAAGAAGCTCTTGTTGCAATACGCATAGTTGGCCAGACAGCAGAGCATGCGCTGTTCCCAGTTAACAGCTGCGCCTCCAACACCAGACACCGACTCCGGCTGCTGGGCATTGGGAAACCCGAGCAGCTGGGACACATTATGCGTAGGCGTCTCATCGTCGTGGGTTGAATAGGCCAGCTCAGCTATGACGGCGCTGAACGCAGACAGCAGCTCCTGCAACCGTTGTGTTACCTCGCGCTGCCCATCTGAATGTGGCTCTAGCAGATTGCCCTCACGCACCTCCGGCTGCATGCACACAGACTGCACCTCGTCTAGGGTCTCCACTAGCAGGGTTTCCAATGCAGCGGGCAGCTGCGTCGCGCCCGGATAATCCTCTACTGTCATTTCCCATGTCTCCTGTACGCCAAGTTTCTTGCAGCGATCCGTGGCCCGCTTGAAGATGATAGAGAAACAAAACAGGCGCACCTCATCAATTAGCTTCTGTATAATGTCCAGTGCATCCGAGGGCAAATCCAGACCAATCAGCGTGGCGTAGGCGATACGCGTGTAACGCAAACATTGCGGTATCCACGGCAAAAAATGATGTGTAGCCGAGGCGGAGCCAATGGGCCAGGACAAGCCGCTGGACTGGCGCAGGGCCCGTTGATCGGCAGCAATGAGTATGGTCAGGCGCAAGTAGACACAAAACTTCTCGATGGCCGTTAGCACCATGCGCTTAAAGTCACCCGGCTTTGGGTCGTGCGGTCCACGTAATTCGCCCGTAAAATAAAGCTGGCCCAGGCGCCACAGATCGGGTAGCTGGGAAGCAGCAATATCGCAGAGTTCCTCGCAAAAGTTGACACGACTGGGCGCCTGGCTGGGATCGCGACTCTTGGACTTTTCCTGCGGGGCTGCATCCTTATTGGCGTGCTGCTCAAAGGTCTGGCGGAAGGTGGCCTCCAAGTATTTAGCACGTGCTTCGATGGCATCCCACGCGGGATCCGTATTGCGCAGCCGATCCCCAATGGGTGTGCCACTCTGCTGCAGCTCCAGGCTGGTCAGCGCCTTGATCAACTTCTTTTGCTGGTCCACGCTCTGGGGCATCTTGACCACCTTCTCGTGCAGCTGTCGGCGTATCAACAAGATGCGCTGATCCACCTCCTCCAGCACCTGGCGAAATATAGCCAGCTCCGTTTTGCCAAACAGATTCTTGGCGCGCGAATAATCATTGACCACAATGTCATATTCACCCGCCTTGGCACGACGATCCACAGTATTGGGCAGGCAGAAGAGAAACTTGTGACGCGACAGCGCAAAGAGCACCGAGCGCGTGGAGTCTGCTTTCTCCTTGCGCACGAGCACATCTGTGAAGATCTTCTGCGATTCACTAATGGAGTCTGCAAGGGTCAAGATTAGCTACATTGACAAGGCTTGAGAATGGGTTTATGGGCACTCACTCTCAATGGACTGCTCGAGAATGTTTAGCGGTTCGCTTCCGTGCAGCTTGACATCCTCCTGCAGCTTATCCCGGATGTTCATTAGCGTGTCCAGCTGATCAATTACTGAGCCAGCATTTGATTTCAGAAAGGAGAGTTGTCCCTCCTTTTGGCTCTCCACCTTGCGCTTTAGAAAGGCCAGGCCAGCCTTAAGATCTTCAAACGAAGTGGCCAAGTGATTCTCGAGCAAAAACCAGGCGGGTGAGAAGTTCTCCTGCGACAAATCACCGCAAGCATCGGGAAACAAATCGCGTAAATCTTCCGGTATTTTCTGCTCATTTCCTTCTATAGACAGACCCAACGGATCCTCCTGAGTTAAGCCAGACTGCGTAAGCGTGCGGCGACCCCAGGCAAAGTTTTGAGATGGCGACTCCTCAATCCACACAGCCGACTCCTTGAGCGGTCCAATTGTTTCATGATAAGCACGAAATTGCACCGTGGACGTGCCCATGCCACCGCTTATAGTTGTCACTATAATATCACCCTTACCTTTGGCTGGGCCAGTTCTGGCTATGATTTTATTAGGTGACTTCCATTCCGCCGACAACAGACAGTCGGAGCCGCAGATTTTGAGACCTGCATATGCGTGAAAATATACTTGAAAAATACAGGGCCGATGACGACGAAACGCTTTGAATACCAATAAGATCCTGCACACGGGTACCCAGAAATTCGCCACGTATAATAACACGCGTGCCCGGCGGACCCTCCTTAGGCGACAGACCCGTTACCACCGGTTGCGGGGCCATTACGTCCAATATAAATAATAATAATAAAAGATCAACGCCTACAGAACAGCAGCCGCAACAACAAACTAGGGATGAGCGATATTTACTCAACCCGTTACAAGTAACAAGTATTCAAAAGTAACTAGTTACTGCTGTTACACCTTTCAAAAGTAACAGGAAAACAAATTATTCTATGTCATGCACGGATAGTAAAGCAAGGGTCTACTTGTTGGTCGTTGTTTACTCAAAAGATTGAAAACGAAAAGAGAGAGAAAGAGATTACAACGGCGATATGACAAATGACTGGATCAATGTTATAGATATGTTAGATATATATGTATATGATATATGTATATTAATATAATGTTAGATATTCTTTTCAGCATTTTTTATACATTTCAAAACTTGCAGTTTATTTAAATTTTTATTGTTGCTGCTTGCCTATTATTATACTTGTTGTATCGTCGAAGTCCATCCCCTAGTAGGGATGGCTATCGATAAACCATATCGATAAATGAACTCATAGGCAGTTGACCAACACGCAATAATACCAACTTCTTGCCGATTAAAAATACCAAGCTTAAGACTGCTCCAAGCAACGGTCAACTAACACAATTTCAAAACATAGTTTTTTTTATTGTTGCAAAACTTTTGATAAGTTATTAATGCTTGTCGTCTAATAAAAATTATTGTTTATAATCCCCTTAAGACTAATCTATAAATTGAGGTATTTACATATAATACTCACCCAGTTCAAATGAAATATGTACATGCCAAGCTTAAGACTGCTCCAAGCAACGGTCAACTGGCACAATTTCAACATAGTTTTTTATTATTGTTGCAAAACTTTTGATAAGCTATTAATGCTTATCGTCTAATGAAAATTATTGTTTATAATCCACTTAAGATTTATTTGTCAATTGAGGTACTTACATATACGGTATTCTAATAACTTGTTTGCTCCTAAATAGTTCTTATAATAAATCTACCCACCCTTCCAATTAAAATGGGCGCTTATCTATAAAGTAAAAACATTTAAACGGCACTCGATAAAGCCACTTGTAAACAGTTTCTCGGAAACCATGTCGCTAAGCGGTCAAAAAGCATCCAGCTTATATCTGATTGCATGTTGCCTCCTCTTTGGCTTCTGTGATGTATCTGCGGCTGTCGTAAGAGCAACCATGGATCAAGCTGTGCTCAATGGACGAGTTGTGGGCGGAGTTGCTGCACCGGCTAACAGCGCTCCCTACGCGGTGTCCATGCAGTACCGTAATTCCCCCTACTGCGCTGCCAGCATTATAAGCGCCAACTGGCTGGTAACTGTCGCCCATTGCCTAACCAACAGTGCGCAGGTCCTTGGGAGCACGCTAGTCGCCGGCAGTAATGCAGTTGCAGGAACTGCATCCACCACCCAAAAGCGTAGCATCACCTATTTTGTTATCAACGAACTTTATACGGGCGGAGCTGTCCCCTATGACATTGGATTAATTTATACTCCCACTGCTTTTACTTGGACCACTGCTGTGGCTGCCGTGAGCTTGCCCAAGTCGAGTATGGTGCCTAGGGGTACTGCAAACCTATATGGATGGGGAAGTACCTCAACTACAAATACGCCATCGTACCCCAGCGTTCTTCAAGTAGCTGCAAATGTTCCCATTATCAGCTTGGCGTCCTGCGCATCTGCTTTAGGTTCAAAGGGCAAAGATGTACACAGCACTAACGTGTGCACGGGCCCCCTTACTGGAGGAGTTAGCTTTTGCAGGGCGGATTCTGGTGGTCCTTTGGTCCAGGGTAACGTTCTGATTGGAATTGTATCCTGGGGCAAGTTTCCTTGCGGG